GGGGGGGGGTCAGATGACCTGGCAGCAGCTGGCTGGAGCTGAGGTACAGAGCAGACCATCTCTGGACCCCCCCTGGATGTTCACAGAAATGGTCTTCTCACACAGAGGTAGTTGCAGGACGCCATTTTTCAGAGCGCTCAAGTTGCTGTGAACATCTCTGCTGGGGGGGCCTGCCTTCAAGCTGTGGGGACCGTGGGGCACTGCTTTGTGATGGTGGGTGCGTGGAAGGCCAGTGGCGGTGGGGAGGGTGATGGAGTCCAGGCTCCCAGTCGAGCTGATGCACATCCTCCATGTTGACTTCTCCTGAATTTTCACACTGCGAGGGTCTATGATGAACTTCCCTCCACCCCCACCTCCTCGTGCCCCCCGGCCCCCGCGGTGCTGCTGCAGCTGGGAGCTGAGGCACAGGCTCATGAGCTTCAGCCCCTCCACCAGCTCGGTGCCGCGGCTCGCTGTGCGGGACAGCCGGGACATGGAGCTGAGGGAGCTGTTGTTACAACAGCTGGAGGGGCTGTCTTGTCCTCGGTTACCCCCACCTCCTTCTCTGCCGCTCCCCCCTCCTCCCCCACCACCTTCTCTTCCTCCATTACTACCTGCACCAGGAGAACTGCCCTTGTCAGGACCAGAGGAGCCCCCACCCTCTGAGGGGGGTTTGCCTTGCCCTGAGCTGCTGCCCCCCCCCTCGCTGCCAGGCGGCCCCTCACTGCTGTCCCTCCTGTTCCAGCTGTAGCTGAAGCCTGAGTCTTTATCCAGCCGCCTGCGGTGGCTCTCCGAGTCGTCGTCACTCGTCTCAGAGCTGGAGCACGATGACCCCCTCCCTTGACTCTTGCGACGATGGTAGCGCTTCTGTGAGGGCCCCGGGGAGGCGGCCCCCGAGCTCAGACTGCCAGCGTTTGCAGCCATGTTCATCTTGAGGCGGCTGAGTTTGGGCGGCAGCCCCTCGTCCAGGTCGAAGTCATCATCCGACTCCCCCTCCTCTTCAAAGATCTGGTTGAGCACTGGGGCACTCTTCCTGGATGTGAGGCGGTTGGTGATGGAGGGGGGCTTCCGCCGCATGATCACTTGGGTTGGAAGGGGAGATGGGTCCTGCTCTTCCTCCTCCTCGTCATCCTCTTCCACCCTGGCAAACACAAAGATGAAAGCAGTTTAATGAAACGGGCTCGTCTCATGTGTCGTGTCTGAAGAACGAGTTCATCCGAGAATCTCAACAGATTTGTTTTTACCAACATCCAGAAAGTGTAAAGTCTTTAGATCTGACAATCATCAATCTAAACATTTTCCTGCTTTTATCTACTCCATTACTATCTAGATGTATCAGACCTGAACAGGCAGATCCTCTGCTTGGCTGCTGCTGATGTGGAGGGGACGGGGGCTCTGATGGTCCCAGAAACTGGAGCAGGGCCAGAGGCAGCAGCACCAGCTCCCTGTGATGACAAACAGAACAGAGTAGACACATGCATTACAGTGAAATACCACACAGATCACCTTTCCTTACCAGCATCAAAAACACGCTCACTTCCATTAAGGTTCAACCAAAACTCTGAGTTAGTGATGACAGCTGTGCTGGTCCAGCAGTGATGGAAGCTGCTACAAGCAGAGACCATCCAACCAGTCAGCCTGCTTACCTTTCATGCCTGCACATGTTGAAATCTGGCCGTAAGTCAGGCCTCAGTTTGAGGCCTCTGGCAGCAACTTTGATTTCGGTACAGTGATCAGTTCAAACTGGGGATGTCCCAGTCAAGACTTTGGTCCCTGATACTGATCTGAGTCATTAAAAAAGGTTTGGTCAATACAAGACTCATCTGATACTGGCACTGTTTTGTATTTTATTACAGTACAGGCTTGTAGACTACATTATGCCACATCCAACTATTATGTTGGCAAATGTCCAATCACTCCGCAGCAAAATCCACGATCTTCAGGCAAATGTGAAGTATCTGGACAAGTATAAACGTGTTTGTGTTTTGGCATTGACAGAAACTTGGCTCAAGGATCATGACTTGCAATTGGACTTGGAGATTGAGAGCTTCGGTGAGCCCATTCATTTGGGACTCCAGGGTGACGGTTACATCACTTGGTAGAGGACTTTGCCTTTACGTGAATAAAAAGTGGTGTAACACTATTGTCATCAGGGAGACGATGTGTACTCAAGATAATGAACGTTTGTTGGTGTCTCTGCCTGTTTTATCTTCTGAGGGAACTTGCACAGCTTTCAACCCTAAGGCTAATAAGGAGTTAGCTACTCAAGCTTTGATGAAGACTGTTCAGCAATTTCAGACAATCTTCCCGTTCGCTCGTAAATTTATCATGGGGGATTTTAACCACTGCAGACTCGGGAAGTCACTTGGTAATTTTCATCAATATGTGAAGTGCCCCACTCGACTTATGAGATGTTTGGATCTGTGTTATGGAACAGTGAAAGATGCTTTAATATCTCTGACATTGGTTCATTGAACCACAATATTGGTTATTTGGTCCCACACTACAAATTTGTCCTGAGGAAACACAAGGTGGAGCAACGTTTGGTTCCAGTTTGGTTGGAAGAGTCCATCCAGAGTCTACAAGACTGTTTTGGTTCAACTGATTGGGATATGTTTAAAAGTACATGCACTAGTTTGGATTAACTCAATTTCCTTTTCCATCCATTTTTGTGAGGGATCAGCCATTCCCAGGAAATATTTTGTCACCATTCAGGTCCAATAACTCCCGGCTGGTGTGGGAGGGGGTTAAGTCTATGATGGGGATACCAAATGAGAAAACTCATATTACTCTTAACTCCTTGTCTGCTTTAGAACTGCCAAATGATTTTTAACTCATTTTACAACCGTTTTAACTCTAATGATTTTACCGAGGAGCTTTCTGAATTAAAGAAGCACCATCAGGTGCCACAGTACATACTGACATTGGAAGTGTGGTTAACAATTTTCAAAAAAACAAAGAAAGGAAAAGTCCAGGTCCTGATGGCATAGGGATTTGTATTCTTAAGAACTGAGCCTTGCAGCTCGCAGATATTTTCCGTTTTCTTTTTAACATCTCTCTCTGAACGTTTAGGGTCCCACAGCTCTGGAAAAACTCTGTTATTGTTCCAGTCCCAAAAAACAAGACTGCTCAGTCCCTGAACGACTTCAAGCCTGTTGCACTGACTTTTTGAGTCAAGAAGTCATTCGTAAAACTGGTCTGGAAGACCCTCTTGTTGAAGATCATTTGGACTCACTTCAATATGCTGATCGTTCATGTACAGGAGTGGAGGACGCAACAGGAACTCTTTTACCGGTACATATGATTTAAAGACATCTAGAAGTACAAAAACCTTGGTAAGATTGCTTTTTACTGAATTTTCATCCGTTTTAATTATTCAACGTCACATTTTAATAGAGAAATTACTATGCTTGTATGGTCTGGATTCTGGACTCATGTTGGCTTGTGGAAATTTTAAATGTTCGGTCTCAATGGGTGAGGGTCAACAGGGTTCTCTCTCAGTGTTTCCCCTACCATTAAACAAGCAGGGTGCACTACCCTGTCAACAGAACCGAGTGCCCTGCCTACACTGCAAATTACATGGTGCTTGCCAAGATTTAAAATATTATTTT